ACCATTTAGTACAGGAGAAACTAAGGCTCAGGGAAGGGAAAGGACTTTACCAAGGTCATACATCGGCTTCTATGGGGCTAGAAGGGAGGCCCCGAGTCCAACTCTCTTATTTTACAAAGGAGGAAACTGAGGCCCAAGGAGAGTAAGTGAGTTGTAAGTGACAGGGGTGGGGTTTGAACCAAGCTCTTTTCATTCCAAATTCAGTGCTCTTCTTTTCTCTGTATGATGTCATTTCAGATCACCATCAGCCTCTGAATTTTGTTGACTTTTTTAGAAAATGAAGTGGACCTGGGCAGCATTGCCCAGTGAGTAGAGTGTGGGCTCTGGAGTCAGGGGACCTGAGTTTGATTTCCACTTTGGCTACTTACTCTCTGTGTGATAACGGGGGGTGGGGGCCACCTCCCCTCCATGGGCATCACTTTCTTCTTCTGGAAAATGAGGGAATTGGACTTGGAGGTCCCTATAAGCCCTGCTCTTGAGTCTGATGGTATCTTTTTGTGGTCCTCACTAGGGGAAGTATACATCTGCAGGCTAAAAGCCTTGCATGTGTTATCTTTCTTTGTCCTGGCCTCTGTTCCTGGTTCATTCCTAGGGTCTCTCTAAGCCTATGTGTTTGACCATTTCTTGGATCGGAACATAACATACCATGACCATTGGTGTGGCCAATTTCTTGCTTCTTGGAATATAGACTTTAATTTCTTCCTTCTTTCCCTACTTTCTTCCTTCCCTCTCTCCTTCCCTCTTTTCTTCCCTCCTTCTCTCCTTCTTTCATTCCTTTCTGTCCCTCCTTCCCTCTTTCCCTCCATCCTTGTTTCCTTTCCTCCTACTTTCTTTCCTTCCCTCTCTCCTTCCTTCCTTCTCTCCCTCTTTCCCTCCCTTCTGCTTTCCTTTCCTCCCTCCTTCTTTCCCTCCTTCTATCCTTCTTTTCCTCCCTCATTCCTTCTTTTTTGCCTTTTCTTCTTCCTTATTTCCTCTTTTCCTTCCTTCCTCCCTTTCTTCCCTCTTTCTTTCTTTCTCCCTTCCTTCTTTTTCTTTCTTTTCCCTCTTTTTCTTTCAGTCCTTTTCTGTTGTTTTCTTTAGTTTTCATTTTTCTTTTCTTTACTTTTCTCTTTCTGTCTCTCTTCCTATGTTCCTTCCTCTGTCCCTCCTTTTTTGTCTCCCTCCCTCTCTATCCTTGGCTTCGGTAACTTCTGAAGGGGTGTGTCTGGGCTCTGAGGGAAGGATGGAATTGTGGGTAAATGTGTTCTAGGTGCAATATAGCCTTTGCCAGTGGGTGGTGCACTTCAGCAGTCTCTCGTTAAATTTTTCTTTTGGATGAGCCTTCCTAGCCAGGGTTGGCAGTTTGGCCTTGGCGTGTAGGAGTGGAGGAAAGTACTTTGTTCCTTGCACAGCCTGTTCATTTATGCCTTATAGCCTGTTGAGAACAATAATTGTTCTCTTCAGAAAAAGAGGTAGGTGGCGATTGATGATAATAATTCATTCCATTCATATTGTGTGGGCTTGGTAAATGATATTGTGCCCTTGGGCTACTGGGCTAGATGGTTCAAACTACCTCAGTAATTTGGAGGATTGTGGGCCCTCCATGTTGATTTGTTTGAGCTCAGGGACTCCTTGTAAAATGGGAGCACTGGGGGGGGGGGGCGCTCAGGCATCACCCAATGACTGTCAGATGATGAAAACCTTTTGGTAAGACTAGGCCTCCCTTCTGTAAAATGAGGAGCTTGAACTAGACCAACAGAGTCAAACTCAGATAGAAACAATCTCTCTGCTTCACAGATTGACTTAGAAAACCACAAGTGACCATTCACTGATGTCGTATTGTATTTGTATTTATTTGGTTAAACATTTCCCGATGACATTTGAACCCAGTTCCTGTACTCGAGGAGTCTTGTGGGCTGTGTGTGGCCTGTAGGCCAGGAGTTTGACACCTCTAAACTAGACCAATGAAACTCCAAAATGGTGAGTCCAGCCTGTCAATGATAGAAACCAGCCAAATTGGGGGAGGGGGGCAGCCAGTGAATAAGGCCAGCATCCCCTAGGAGGCCCAGATCGCACAGCAACAAAGAAACATTTTATTTACAAGTTCAGGAGAACTACGTAGTTTATGCTGTGGCTACATTTTAACTGGGAGGCAACTAATTTTCTTTCAGCATGAAAAAATTTGTCCAGTTTTTTCGAAGATTAACATTTATATAGTACTTTGCTTACAAAAACACCTTACAAACATGATCTCATTTGATCCACCCAGCAACTCTTCAAGATAGGCGCTATCATTTTATCCCCACTTTACAGATGAAGAAACTTAGGCTGCAGAAACTTAAGTGACTTGTCCAGGTTCACACAGCTGGTAAGCATCTGAGGTTGTTTCCACTGCACCACCTGGCTGCCCAAGATTATAATTCAAGCTTTGAGTTCGAATGGCGAAGTACATTCTTCAGCTTTGATCAGAATATCCAGGACACATCACTATGGGTAGTAGAGCAGAGAGTTTCTTTTTCATGTCCACAACTCTCTCTCTCTTTATTTATTTTTTTTTTTTTTAGGCAATTGGGGTTAGGTGATTTGCCCAGGGTCACATAGCTAGTAAGTGTCAAGTGTTTGGTCTGAGGTCAGATTTGAACTCAGGTCCTCCTGACTTCAGGGCCAGTGTTTGCCCCCGCAACTCTCTTAAAAAAAAAAAAAAACAAAAACAAGTTCCTGTTGAATTTTTCTGTTTCTTATACCACCACAGTTATCCCAGGAATCCCTTCCTTTCACCCTCCCTGAAAGCTATCCCCTATAACAAATAATATTTTTGGAGGAAACAAAAAGTCAGCACAGCTGATGGATACATTGAAAATGCCTGAGAACGTGTGTAGCTCATAGTACCTATGGAGCTCCCCGCTCCCCGAAGGACCTCTCCGTCCCTGCACTCAACTCTTACCAGAGCCTTGTAATTTGGGTACATTTACTTCTGATTCAGGGTATGTGGTTGTTCTTGCACTGACATTATTGTGAATCTTACTTTTCCTCTACTTACCTCACTCTTTATGTATATCTCATAAGGTTTCAGTATATTCACCACACACAATTTCTTTTTTTCTTTTTTTTTGGCAAGGCAATTGAGATTAGGTGACTTGCCCAGGGTCACACAGCTAGTAAGTGTTAATGTGTCTGAGTCTGGATTTGAACTCAGGTCCTCCTGACTCCAGGGCCGGTGCTCTATCCACTGCAATGCCACCTAGCTGCCCCACACATGCATGATTTCTGACAGCACAGGAACATTCCATTACACCCATGGACCACCATGTGCTTAGCCAGTCCCCAATCCCTGGTTGCTTTAAAGGGAAATCATACCTTGCTAATTGAGAAGAATTTGTTTATTATTTCATTCAACAAAGGCTATATAAGCACTTTGCTAACTGGTGTGTGAGCAAGTATGTTTACACACACACACACACACACACACACACACACACACACACACGCAAAACAAGAGAACATCTGGTTGTAGAAGGGAAGGGAAGATCAGCCACTTAGCAGTGTTTGAGAGAGATGTTTCTGTAAATGCCGTAAAACAAATGTAGGTTCACATTCAAAATGGAGATAAGCAGTGACCAGCAGATGGAGCTTATTTATATCTTCCCAAAGTCATGCAAGGCAAAAAAAGCCCTCAAACCAAAACCAAATACTTACTGAGCCCCTGCTGTATGCAAGACACCATTCTAGGCACTTGAGAATACCAAGATAAAACTTAAAAAAAAAATCCTCCCCGCTCCCAAGAACCTGACATCCTTCCTCACCAAGACTCTGTTTATTTTAAAGCGGGGCCAAAGCACTCCCCAAAGCCCCTAAGATAGTATTAGATGCAGTCACAGTCTGATTTGAATCTTACAGTCCTGTGGGTTGAGTATTTGTTCTGAACCCAGACCTCTGATTTCATTGGTATAGGAACCCCCAGTGTGGAAATCCCCTCCAGGAATGCAAATCGACACTGGTTCTGAACAGAGAAGTTAATTGCCTTGCCCAGGTTCACACAGCTGCAAGGCTTACCTGAGGTGGTTATTGGAACCCATCATTTTCCAGACTTCCAGGCCAAACACTTCTTCCCATTAGCCTAGACTATCATTAGGATTATACCATCTTTTGGCATTTATGATTCTTGGGTACCATTTTTTTCTTTGGACCACATAACTCATCTTCTACCCTCTGCAGTGTTTCCATAACCCTCTTAACATGTGACCGTCTGACTCCTTCAGTCTCTTCCACTCTGCCAACCCCTTCATTTGTGTCCCATGAAAGCTTAAAATGGCACTGAGGATTTTGGGACACCCAGTATGCCTTGTCTTTGAACCTGCTTTCCCCATGAGCTGCCATTCCAGTTTCAGACTCATCTGGGTACCTTAGCTACCATCTTTTGCCGTTATATCCAGTGTCCTCCTATGGAGATCCCCATCACCAAAGCCCATCTCTGCCTCTTTAAAGCTCATGTGGATTAACTCTGAGGTCCCTGAGCATTAAGATTTCATTGGTTTTATTTCTTTGAAAACTAGGTTCAAACGCTACCCTCTCCATGAAATTTTCTCTGTCCTGTTCCAAACACTGAACACCTTCCTTTAAACTCCTGAAGGACTTACTTGGTGCCACCCAACTTTGTTGACCAGCCACAAACATTCACTAGTGGCAGCTACATGGTGCAGAGGAGAGAACACAGATAGTGGAGTCAGGAAGAGCTGAGTTCAAATCCTGCCTCAGACACTTCCTAGCTGTGTGACCCTGAGAAAGTCACTTAAGCGCTCTCAGCCTCAGTTTCCTCATCTGCAAAATGGGAATAATAATAGTACCTGCCTCCCAGAGTTGTTGTGAGGGTCAAATGAGATGATATTTGTAAAGGGCTTTGCAAATCTTAAAGCACTATATAAATGTTAGTTATTATCATCATCATCATCATCATCATCATTAGTAGTAGTACTAGCCTCAGAACAAAACTTCATAGGTTGCGCCTCAGTTTACCCTTCCTTTCAGGTTGACCCCAGACTATTGATGACTATATTTTGGATGTGGCCCTCCTGCCAGTTTTGGGACAGAGTGATTCATATCAATTCATTCCTATCTTTTTCACAAGGACTATGTGGGGCCAAATCCAAGGCTTTTCTGAAATTCTAATTTGGCATTTTTGTTTCTTCATAGAGATAATTACTACCTAGGACCGTGTGCCCTCCCAGATGTTTGCAGATCAGTGAGTTGGTCTGCTATCATCAATCAGTTGAGTAGCATTAATGAAATACCTCCTGTGTGCCAGTCACTGTGCTAGACCCTGGAGATGACAAAGTCAAAATTCAAATAGTCCCTGCCCTCAGAGAGCTTACATTCTAGTGGGGAGACTATATTCTCTAAGAGTAGGCATATCAGTCACCCAACAAGCATTTCTTAAATACCTCCTCTATTCTAGGCACTGTGCTAAGTACTTCAGAATGTAAAGATAAAAAGGAACAGTCCCTGCCCCCAGGAAGCTTACTTTGTATCTGGGGAGTCATCAGACAATCAATCCACAGACATTTTATGTGATTGTCTACTATGCGTGAGGCACTGTGTTAGACCCTGGATAAAAATCAAATAATCTTTGCCCTCAGGGAACTTCCATCTTGAATATCACAGCGAAGTGGACCAGTCCGCCATGTCAGACCTAGAAAGCTGGCCAGTGAACTTGAAGGTCATCGGAGAATCTCTGAGAAACTAAGGCTTTGGAAGGGTCTCACCTTAGGCTGTACCCAGATGTGGCACTGACGGGGACGTTAGCCCTGTGATAGGGGTGGGGCAGGGGTGGGAGGAGAAGAACAGGGTGGTGATTTCACGATGAAGACGCTCTTTGAGAGTAGAAATCGTTCCACCCGTTATCTTTGCATTCTCAGTCTAGCACGGTGCCTGGCATGTTTGGGTAGGAAGTGCTTATTAATAAATGCGTGTTGATTGAAAAGTTGAAAGTCACATTTTCAGTTTGAATTGGGGAGGGGGGCACTAGCCGAAGGTAAGGCAGGCTGGTCACAAGTCTTGTTGCCTGTGTCAGACTTGCCCGCCAAGCCAGCCAGGGCCAGAGATCTTGCCTTTCGTGTGTGCGGCAGCCAAAGGGTCAAGGTCGCAGCTTGATCCCCTGAGTCCTGCTGAAGGACCCAAGGAGCGTGGCCTTGGTCTCCATCAGGCGTTAGTTGGCCAGGGGCTCCAATCAGCTTAGGTCTGGCTGATTTGACTTCTTGGTTTCTGGCGAGGACCCTGTGTTTTAATTAACTTTTACAAGTGAATAATGGGCCATAGCCACAATCCAGGCAGCTGGCAAAGGGACCGGATGGTGTTCCATTGCAATATAACAACATGTGCCTAAGTCTGAAGCTGGCTGGTTTTGTGACACTTTACAATGAACAGGCTGGCTCTGCTCGCCTCCACATACCCCGCCAGGCCTTTGTGTGACCTTATTTTTTTTTCCATCGTCGCATTAGGGGGTTGTTTTATGTGTTTATTTTTTGTTTTTTCTCCCTCTCTTTGCGTTTGGGAGACTTCAAAGCTGGGCTGATTTCACTGCCTGTGTCCAAAATTCCTGTAAAGGTCAGGCTGCTCCTGCCTGAGGCAGGCTCCTTCTCCCTCTCCACCCCTTCCCCAATTGCGGCCTGGGCCAGCTGCTGCTGAGCAAAGGGGGTTGGGGGGGGGTTTGGATTTAGAGGGTAGAGTTGGGTCCAGAAGCTCTCCCAAACTGTGATTTGCAGCTGACAAGGATTTGAATGTAGGGAGTCGAAGAGAGGGGACGGCAGCAAAAGGTGGGCTTGTCCACAGCCTGGACTTTGGCAGAGTCCACTCTAATCACTTGCTTTTTGTTCTTGCAGCAAGCACAAAATGTTCCTAGATGAGGAGCCACTGGTAAAGCGGAGACGGTCCCAGAAGCCAGCGATGGCCTCTGACTCTTACAAGAGGGCAGAGTTGGCTGCTCTTCGCCAAGAAATGGAGAGTGGCAGAGGTGAATCTGACCTTGAGAGAAGCCTTCTCCCAGAGGCAGGCCAGAGTAGCAGTGAGGTTTGGGTGGCACCTGCTGGAGAGCAAGGCCCAGGTCAAGGATCCCTGGTGAGCGTTCAAGAGGATGGGGTGCCTGGGAAGCGCCCTGAGGAGCTCGGAAATCAGCGGTCATCCTTGATGGCTGACATGGCCAAAGGTTGGCCACCCTCGAGCCGAAGCTCTTTGGTGGCAGAGCAGAGCAGAGCGCCACTACCGGAAGTGGCCAAAGGCCCCTTCGTGGCTGTGGTTGGGATCACTGAAGCCGTCATGGATGGTGGGGCTCCCATCCAGCTGATTCCATTCGGTCGAGAGGAGAGAGCTGAGCACAGACGGGGGGCAGAAGACCGCAGCCAGATCCGTGCCATGCCCAGCAGTGAGAAAGGGGAAGCTGGGGATAATGGAGCTCTGAGTCAGCCCAAGGCCAAGGACCAGAAGACTGAGAGGCGACTGGAAAGCATCTTGTCAGAAAGGGATCTGCTGCAGCAGAAGGTCAGGGGCACTCTGATATTGGGGATCAAAAGTGGTGACCAAGGGGAAGGTGTTGGTATGGATGTTCCATATAAAGGAACCTCCCAGGACCCTTGGATCCCAGGTCAAGGGCTGGAAGGGACTGTAGAGGTCTCTGAGGCCAAGCCTCTCCTTTTCACCAATGAGGGAACTGAGGCAGGCCCAGGGAGGCTGTGACTTGCCCAAATAAGTTGGCAGGTCTAGAATTTGAACCCAGCTCCTCTGACTCCCGAGCTCATGCCCAAGCTGGTAGTGAGATACTTGATGGTAATTCCTAAATGGGGTGAACCTCAGGACGGGCCTGTACACAGTAAGCCAAGGTAGGGTCTAGCGATGGAACAAGGTGTAGCGCAGCAGTGGTGTCTCCATGTGTGCTTGTGTCCTGTCCTTTGGACCACAGGTTCAAGAGCTAGAAGAGGAGAAGAGCCATTGGCAGACCGAGTTTGAGAGAACCCAACATGAACTGATGACCCTCCGGGCCCGCGAGAGTGAGAGTTTGTACTGGAGCAAGAAGCACATGGGCTACCGCCAGGCCGAGCTGCAGGTGCTCAAGTCTGAGCTGGAGAGAACCCTGGAGGAGAAGACAGAGCTCAAGGAGCGACTCAAGGCCACGGAGATGCGTGTGGAGGTTCTGCGCCAGGCTCAGGGCTCCTACCAGAGCCTGGAGGGAGAAGATAGGAGGTTGTTACCAGGGTTTGTTGGTCTTTGATGGGGAGCACACCAGGCCCTTGCCCTACAGTCTCCAGCTCCCATGCTTGAATTCCCTCCAGCTTTTGTTTGGGGAAGGTAGGGTGGTGTGGTGGCTAGGGAGCTGACCAGGAAGACCTGGGGACAAGTCTGGCCTCCCACACACTAGGCAGGTCATTCAAGGCTCTCAGGGTTTGAGGCCACACCCTAAGATTCTGAAATTGTGTAGAAGGGGCCAACCTCCCTTGGGAAAGGAAGTTTCCCCATCTGGGAACACCCACACCGATGGAACTGTGGGTCTGTCCCCTGTAGCTAGCCTCCCATATAGAGTCTTTATACACCTACACTTCCCAATATACGCCTCCTCTTATAACAAAGAGGAAAAACAGAACTAGTTTGATCAATCCACAAACACTTAGTAGGCACCTCCAATGTGCCAGGCCCTGTGCTAAGCGCTGGAGAGAGAGTAAGCAAAACAAAACAGTCCTCAGCTCAAGAATCAAGTCCAACAATGTATGCAGTAGTCCCCCCACCTCTGCAAAGAAGGGGGTGATGTACAGTCTCATATTTTTCTTTGGTCATTATGATTGCATAGCAAGTTGAATTTCTAGACCTGGGATTGAGAGAGGAAGAGAAGAGAGACTCCTTTGCGTTCTTTTATCCTCAGTTTGTCTCCCCTCCATCATCTCCAGCCCCACTAGGGAAGCCCAAGTCCCAGTGGGAGAAGTGGCCTCTCAGAAGTATGTGAATCACAGAAGGGTTTGCATGGGGAGGCCTGCTCCAGAGGTAAACGGAGGAGGCGGTCACCCCTTTTGATAGATTGGGGAAACAGACTCACGCTAGCTCAGTGTTGTGTGGCCAGGTAGGGGTGAGACAGGTCTTGAAGCCTCTGTGCTGAGAAGGAAGTAGGAACCAGCTCCCAGGCCATTAACTGGAATCAGCTGAGCCTTCTCTTGTGCCAACTCCACGCTGCCCGTAACTCAGGTTTGGATACCTCAGATTACTTAGTTGATTATGGTCTCATTCAAGCACGAAAAGGATCCATGAAGAAATCCCTTGGATTGAGTTTTTTAAAACGGGGCGGGTGTGGAGGGAGAGCCTGGACTTTTGGCTCTCAGCAGTTCCAGTATCTGCTGGGAAGCTTTGGGGGTGGGGCTGGGGGGCAGGTGTTGTTGTTCCTTCCTGGCTCTGCCTGATGGAGGCCTAGTAGGTTAGGAACTGTGAGGGAGGGCAGAGAGCCCCCTCTCGACCAGCTGTTTTGCTTTTCCCCTTTTGTGGCTGAGCCCCTCACCACTGTCCTTTCTCTTCCTCCATCTCAGCACCCTGGAGAAGCTGAAAAGCCTCCGGGTGAATGTCAGCCGCCTGCTGGCCTCCATTCTTCCTCACCTGGAGCTGGAAGAGGTCAACTTCGAGTCTGATCAGGTGGATGAGATCCTGCAAACTGTGTTAGAGACCAACCGCATCCTGGAGTGATTGGCGATGGCTCCCGCGCCGTCGCTCGCCTTCCCCACGGTGGCTGCCTTCTTGCCTTATGTGTACAGAATCAGTAATAAATGATGGCTGGCGATCTTGCTGCTTCTCTCCCTGCCTTTTGGGATGGGGGGGGGGGTGAGAGACCACTCAATACCCTCAGATGTCAACGAATTTCAGAGTTGGAAGGGGCTTAGCCGCCATCTAATCCAACCCACATCCCAAAAGGGTCCCCCCTGCCACAAAAGTGGCAAGCAGTCATCCAGTGTCTGCTTGGGGATGTCCGACAAGGTGGATCTCATTATGGGAGGCAGCTTAGGACAGTGGAAATTGCATTGACCGTGGAGTCAGAGGACCTGGGCTCAGCTCCTACTTTGGACATGCTGCCGGTGTGACCCTGGGCAAGTCACTCTTCCCTGTGCCAGTTTTCTCCCCTGTAAAATGAGATGTTGGACTCAATGGCCTCTGAGGGTCTTTCTGGCTATCAATAGAGGAGCTTATGGGTGATCTTGGGTAAATCACTTTATCTCCTTGGGCCTCCTCCTTCAATCTGAAAAGTGGTGAGGTTAGACTAGGTATCTTTTGGGGTCTCTTCTAAAGCAGTTCATTCCACTTTGGGTCAGCTCTGAGTATGAGGAAGTTTTTCCTGACAACCACCCTCAGTTTACTTCTCTGAAACTTCTTCCCATTACTCTTAATTCTGCTCTCTGGGGCAAAACGGAACAAGTCTCATCCATCTTTCAGGGGCTCGATCTTCAGGTACTTCTTTTCTTTTCTTTTTTCTTTTTTTTTTTTGGCTAGGCAATGAGGTTAAGTGACTTGCCCAGGGTCACACGACTAGTAAGTGTCAAGTGTCTGAGGTCAGATTTGAACTCGGGTCCTCCTGACTCCAGGGCCAGTACTCTATCAACTGCAGTGCCACCTAGCTGTCCCGATCTTCAGGTTCTTCAAGGCAGTTATCCCATCATCCCTGAGCCTTCTTTTCTTCAGGCTAACTACACCCATTTTGTTCACCTGGTCCTCATGTGATGTGGGCTCAAGGCTCTTCCTCATCCTAGCTGCCCTTCTCTGGACACTTTCCAGCTTATCAAATGCCCTCCCTAAAACATACCCAGAACTGAACCCAGTACTTCTAATGATGTCTAACCAGTACAGTGGGACTTTTGTTCCTGGGCCCTAGGTGGCCCTGCAGTGGACAGAGCGCTGAGCCTGGAGTCAGGAAGACCTGAGTTCAAATATAGCTTCAGACACTTACTAGCTATGTAACCCTGGGCATGTCACTTAACCTCTGTTTGCCTCAGTTTCCTTATCTGTAAAATAATAATAATAGCACCTTCCTCCTAGGATTGCTATGAGGATTAAATGAGGTAATAATTGTCAAGCACTCTGCACAGTGCCTGGCACGTAGGAAGTGCTGTATAAAAGCTATTCAGATTATCTGCTGTACCTCTTATGTTACCTAAGATTGTATTAAGTAGGCCCTTTTTTGGGCCTACATCCCACATCCCACCATTGACACAGACCAACAGCTGTCTAACCAGGCCTCCGCCACCATGGACTTGAGTGGTCGATTCTTTGAACACAAGTATAAAACTTTACATTCATCCCTCATTACATTACATTTTAATAGATTTGTTCAGACGTCTCTGGATTCTGACTCTTAGCTCTCCCTCCCAAATTTATGTCATATGTACTTAATAAATAAGGATGCTAACTAAGCCTTTATTCAAGTCGTTGATCAGAATGTTTAATAGCACAGGCCCAAGCACAGATCCCTGGGGCACTCCATGGAAGACATTGGAAGTTGATCAAACCATTCATGGCTACCCTTTGGGTCTGGCCATCCAAACTGGTCCCTACTGTCCTCCAGTCTTGTGTCTACCCATCTTCTCTTGTCTCTTGAACTGGAGTCATAGGCACAAGCTGTTTCTGTGTCCCAAGAACCTCTGCTAGTCTTTTTCCTTTCCAAACACCAAGGACCAAGACCAGTTGGTCTTGGTTTAATCATCTGATAAATCTGAATTGAGCACCTACTGTGTGCAAAGCATTATACGAGGCCCTAGAAGGGTGGGGAACCTGGGGCCTCGGGGCCACATGTGGCCCTCTAGGTACTTGGGCGCAGCCTTTTGACTGAGTCCAAGTTTTACAGAACAAATTCTTTTATTAAGGGGATTTGTTCTGTGAAATTGAGATTCAGTCAAAGGGCCGCACTTGAGGACCTAGAGGGCCACATGTAGCCTTGAGGCCACAGGTTCTTTACCCCTGCTGCTATGGAAGTTTCAAAGAAGTATAAGACAAGTCCCCTTATATACATCAGACTAGTGTAGATAAGTACCATACTACAGGAGATTGGTGTAGGTTGAATTGGTCAAGGAAAGTATCATGGAGGGATTTGAACTTGGCCTTGAAGAATAAATAAGGATCATAGATTGTGAAGCTGAAAAGGGACTCCAGAAGCCATCTAGTCCAACCCCCTCATTTTACAAATAAGGAAGCAGACCCAGGGAGGGGAAGGGACTTACTCAAGGTCCCACAAGCCAGAAGTGGGCAGAGCCAGGATTTGATCCCTGGTCTTCTGACTCTGACTTCAGTGCTCTTCCTACTCCACTGCACAGCCTCCAAGATGTGCAGAGGGAGAAGGCATTCCAGGCCGGGTCATAGGGAGTAGGCATGTACAAAGAAGGCAGGAACGAGTGAAGCATAGAGGGGAATGTGGCAGGGGGGAGGGAGAGGAGTAAGGAGACCAATCCGGCTTAAAGATGGTGTAGGTTGGCACCAGCTGGGTGAGGGGCTCTGCCAAGGTTAGGGAGATAACAAACTGAGGCTGGCCCTTTATAAGTCTCCCCATGTATCCATACCTATCAAGGCCAAAGCGTTCCTTCAACCCTGTGAAGCATAGGGATTGTTTGGAGTGGGTACCCACCTTCCTCCCAGCCCTGCCAGTTCACGTTCACCCTTGCCCAGCTTTGTTACTTGGCTAGTAACGCATCAAAAGCATGGAGATGCCCTCTCGGTTGGTGAGAGCCTCTGGAAGGAAAGCCTCTGCTGACTTGCTTTATTTTCCCAGGGCAAGGCATTGTGTTTGTGTTCTATGGTCAGCGATTCTTTATTTCATGCCTACTATGGGCTGCTGGAAAGGATACAAAAGGAGGTAAGACATGGTCTCTGCCTTCTCGAGTTTGGCAATAGGACACCATAGTTCAACTACATTTTTTTAATGTAGCTACAAGCCCCCCCCCCCCCAGTAGTCTCTATTCCTTCTTCCTCACTTCTCATGGTTAATCAGTTGTCAAATCCTTGGCAATGCTGTGACATTCTCTCCCATCTCTTTTTCACTCACACTGCTACCGCCCCAGTTTGGGGCCCCACTCAGACTTAGAGCAACGCAATATTCTCCCCACCTCCAGTGCTATACCACTCCCCACTCCCAGGTTACTCTTCCTAATGCATAGCTGCAGTCATGTAACTCTCCCACCCCAAATCCTCCAATGACTCCCGATTGTGTGCCAGACTTCTTAGCTTGGCATTCAGGTCCCTTCATAGCCAACTAACTTTTCCAACCCGATCTCCCATGACTCCTGTACACAAACCTTCTGCTTAGTCGAACTGGACTGCTTGGCTTCCTATGCCCTGTTCTCCTCACCTCTGCACATATTTTTTGTGTGCTTTCCATTTAACACCAGGCCAACCCATGTTCTTCCCTTTGTCTGCTGTGAGCCGGTGAAAACTGGACTGAATGGTGTGGTGCCAGGCCCAGCCTCACAGGTTAAATGTGTGCTATGCCTTAATTGACCAGGCAATCCAGCCTCTCTCCAGCCTTTTGCTTGCTATGGCATACCTAGATTAAGTCCTGTGGGTCCTTGTCCCTCATTTCTCATTCCTTGTTAAGTAGTTCAGACGATACCCTGATTTTGGGGCTCCACACTCCCTCTCCCCAACTGCCTTGCCTTAGTGGTGATGGGGCAGTCTCCTATTAATGCCACCTCAACTCTCTGTCTAAAACTCAATAAAAATTTGAACCCAAAGCAGCTTTAGCGGGAGCTTGGATGGGAGTCACATCTTGCTTCCTGTCTAAACTATCAGCCTGCCCAGGGAGCTAGAGGCAACGAAGGCCCCACACCTTTGCTCTTCCCTATTGGCATCTGTTCTCTCATAACAGCCATCCCTGTGTGGCAATGTCACTCTTCCAGAACAGCTCCTTCCCCTTTTGCACTGAGCCTGGAATGCCTTCTGCCCATCTCTGCCTCTTTGAAGCTTACATAGATTATCTCCGAGGTCCCTTAGTGCTAAGATTTTATCAGTTTTATTTCTTTTAAAACTGAGCTCAAGTGCTCCCCTCTCCATGAAGCTTTCTCTGCCCTCCCCCAACCCCCTGCCAAGACATTGAACACCTTCCTCTAAGCTCCTGAAGGACTTACTTTATGCCAGTCATAAGACACTTCCCACATACCCACATGTGATGGTCATTCGTTCATTCAACAAGCATTTCTTAAAGTGCCTAATATTCTACAACCTTGGTGTCAGACTCAAATAGAAAGGATCCCTACAGTGCATGGTGTCTTAGAAAACCACAAATGAACATTCTCTATGTTGTATTGTATTTTTTATTTATTTCATCAAACATTTTTCCCAGTTACATTTTAATCTGCCTTGGTTGTATCCTGGAGTTTTGTTTTTTGTTTGTGTGTTTGTGTGTGTGGTTTTTTTTTGTTTTTGTTTTTTGGTGAGGCAATTGGGGTTAAGTGATTTGCCCAGGGTCACACAGCTAGTAAATGTCAAGTGTCTGGTCTGAGGCTGGATTTGAAATTAGGTCCTCCTGACTCCACTGACCCACCTAGCTGCCCCCTGGAGTTTTGAAGCCATATGCAAGCTGTGGGTCATGGGTTTAATACCTATGGTTTACAGGGTATTATATAACTCAAGGCCCTTGAGGAGAGGAACAATTCATCCCTCCTAGTAGTGATTCAGTATGTGTTTATTGAAAGAATTCCAGTTACATTCCAAAATGGTACATTCTGAATAAAGAGAGATACAGGAGGGAGAGAGACAGGGACAGATAACTGGAGCCTGGGGATGGTTGGAAAGACTTCCTGGAGTATCTGGGA